TTACTTCCTCCGTTCACTTTTATAAGTCATTTTAGATAATTTAAAATAGGCTGTTTTGCACATTATCTGAAATGTTTTCAAGATCTTATAAAAATAAGTAGAAAGGAATGGCCCGTATTTGCTCCGTCATGGGCCTGTGAATGTAGCATTTTGTCCCCTTCTTCTCTCATTACCACACCGCCGAACTCGCCCCCTCGCGCCGCATCCGGTCGCCAGGGCCGCCTCACCGCTGCGGCCGCCGAGGCGCCCGTCGCCGTCGCCCTCGAGCCCCCCTTCCCCAAGGCCCCCTCTGAGCATGACGCTGCCATCATGCTCAACACGGCCAACCAAGAAGCAGCAACGGATCTCCAACTTGAGCCAGGCCGACGAGGCGCCCACCTTTCTCCGACCAGAGTCAGCAGCGGTGGAGGAGGCGGCAGCGCCGCCAGCGTCCGCTTCAACATACTCTTTAGCGTCGACGGCCGGATCATGCCTCGCCCCGTCCGACGATGCGCTCAAGTACATTGGCGGCGACACCCGTGTCCTCGTCGTGCCTCGCTCAATCCACTTTCGTGGTACGTACGTACGTCGTGTCCGTGCCTTGTTGATGCGTGTGTTTCTTGCTGCTTGCGTGCTCAAGTCTCTTCTTCTCCACGTGCAATTTTGAAGAAGAAGGTGGAGGAGATGTTCAAAACGGATGTGGCGGCCATCAAGTACCAGCTCCTCTCCTCCGACGAGCTCGACGTGCTCGTGTCCGTCACCTCCCAAGCATGCCAAGCCCCCCCAGCCTCCCAGCCGTCGTGGAACTTGTACCAGCTCGTGAGCAGCGAGATTCGATCGGGCTACATCAATCCAATCATCATCCAAGCACAGCTCCGCCACAAGTTCCACGACGCCCTCAATGTGTTTGAGGAAATGAAGGTTGTCGGTGTCAAGAGGAGCAGCGCCAGGAGTGGCTCGTCTCCGAGCTTCGGGGCAACCGCCCGCTCTTCGGCCCCGACCTGCAGCAGGCCGACGAGGTCGCCGACGTGCTCGGCACTTTCCACGTCGTCGCCGAGCTTCCAACGACAGCTTCGGCACGTGTACTGCAATCTCCATAAGTATAGTTGTTAATTCCTAATCACAATGCATGTATGCAACCAAACACCGAGTAGAGGAGTCTTCCACAGGCAACCTATATGTAGGTAACCAATCAATTTGTAGATGTCATATTTTGGCAATTTGTAGTTGTTAAAAAATTCTATTTCATTTTGTTGACCTTTTTCAAACTGCTGAACATCTTTTGAACCATGGACATTTTTTGAATTCATGAACGTTTTTGAAATCGTGTAACTTTTTTACAAAATAGTTTTTTGAAATTGTGAACATTTGTTCAAATCGGTAAACATTTCTTGAAATTGGGATACTTTTTAAAATTCATGGAGATTTCTTGTATGAGTCTCCATCACTTCTTTCTACACAACATAAAAGATACTATATTTTTTGTCCACAACAAGAAAATAACATATTTTATAACTCGTTTGGAATATATGTATGCATGTAGTACATTTGGTCATATCCGAGGTGAATAGGGCTGCATCATATGTCAAAAAAGAAACCAAAAACATGTTTCTTTCTACGGAAGAAATAATTATATTTGTTATGTTACCTGACAGAAAAAGAAAAAGAAGAAAAACTTTCTTTCTAAGGAAAAATGGATTATGAGAACAATTTACCCCTAAAAGAAACAATAAGAAACTATTTTGAAAATATTGTACAATTGTACCTAACATGCACAAATCATAAATTCCTAAGTCAAAAGTCTTTTATTTTATCTGGGAATTAGAATATACTACAAAACTATACACACAAAATATATAACTTGCACTCTTTCGTATTGTGAAAAAAGAGTTATAAAGTAGTGAAACTTCAATAATAGTTATTATACAAAAATGAACTCAATTAAAAGTTCCAAACATTAAATTTAATAGTGTCACATGATTGCAACATCAACACACTACCGCATGCACAAATATAAGGCCAAAATCCAACGCCAAAAAAGTTGACTAACAATAGACAAAACACAGGAGCCAAAAACATTAGCACAAAAAAAATTTGTTAACAAAGAAAGACATATACTAAAACACAAAAGCATATGTTGTTCTAAGGTAGAATAAACAAAGGGCACTGGTATTACGCTAAAAGAAGAAAGAGCATGAAAAACAATAAAAACATATGTGGTTCTAAGGTAGAATGAATTAAGGGCAATACAAGAAAAAAATCAAAAAATAATACAAAAACTAAGACGATTTTTTTTCATAAGGACGAATGAATTATGGGAGTTGTTTAACCTTAAAACACCAATTAAAATAATAATAGGAAACTAATATTATACGACTATGCCTAACATGGCAAATAAAAAATAATTATTGTCAAACTCTTTCCTGCCATGCATGAATTTGAATATAATGAAAACACATAGATTGCAAAAAAAACTAGCACTCTTTCATAAAGTGCGAGAGCAAATGTAAACTAGTGCAACTTTAGTTATATTTTATAATTTGTGTTCGTTGATTACAAAAATAAATTATATTTTAAGAAAGACATGAAAGAGTTTTATTTGTCATGTTACCTTACATGAAAAATAAATAACGACTTAATCAAAGGAAAACTTTAATTCTAAGGAAGAATGAATTATGAGAATTGTTTGCACCTGGAAGAAAGATTGTGAAACTATTTCTCAAAATATTGTACAACCATACCTAACATCAATAAAGCATAAGGACTTCTGTCAATGTCCTTTTCTTTCATGCGTGGGTTAGAATATGCTGCAAACTTGCGTAGTTTATAGTACTTGCAAAGTTAGAATATAATTTACACACATAGTGCATAGTGCTAAATATACATTACGCACAAAAATTAAAAATTGAAGTTTTCCATGAAAAACTAGTGGGACTGGTATCATACCCTTATAGGTGAAGCAAAATGAAAAATAAATTAAATTAAATTATGAAAAAAAATCCTTGCATACAATTTGCGCAAAAATACATTTCTTTTGTAATATGCAACAATGAATACATAATTATGAATTTTTCACAGTCTAATATATTATATACACAAATTGCATAGTACTTACATGTATAAAAATTACTTCCACACACACCCAACTTTAACAAGTACACATAAAAGAAAAAAGCGATTTAGGAAAAAACACATAAAAAAGTCTTTTTTTGCATATTCCAGGCACCTGTGAAATAGTAGACACATAAAAAGTTTTACAAATTCCAATCTAAAGATGGATAGTTCGTGAAATATTGTTACCCAAAAAATCAAAGAATAATAAAAAAATAAAGGCAAAATTTATTCTAAGAATGAATGAGTTAAGGGCATTTATATTACCTAAAATAAGAGAGAAAATGAAGAAAGATAATTTAAAATGAATGTTACCAAAAATGGCAAACAAATGCATAAACTTGCACTGATCTATAATATGCTAGAAGAATCATATAATAATGTAACTTTTATATATATGTCCATAATATACCCACCGTTCATAACAATAAGAACAACGATAGTGTATTGCAACGCATGTTACCATCTCGGGCTCTTTATTTTTACAGAGAACCTCCAGCAAATTAGTGATCAAAGCCTTTGTATGTGGACTTGTGGGCTGCTCCAGGCCAGGCCTACCCGGCCTCTTCGATGTATACTCCGGGGGCAAATCCTGAACGGCGCCCGTAGCGTAAGTTATAGGGTTAACGGTACAGGGCGCACACCCCTCCTCAGCGATGGGCCAGCACATGTTCATTTTTTTCCTTTTGTAAAAAGCTGCAAAAATGGGGCGCTGAGAAGGATTCAATCTTGCGGTGCGCGGTTTCAGCGCAACACAACACTCACTAAGCACCCGAGCGAGCTGAGTTCTGTGATCACGTACAGCTTCTTCCTTCTTTTAATTTTTTTTTTGCTTTTGCTTTTCTTTTTTTGTCTTATTTTTTTATTTTTTATCATTTAATTTCTTCTTTCTTCTTTCTCTTACTCTTTTTCTTTTTTGATATAAAAATTTCACCAGATTTTATGAAAAAAAATCAAATTTGTTGAACTTTTTTCAAAATTTTGGAAAAAAATTTCAAATTTGATGAACATTTGTTTAAATTGGTTAACTATTTTTCAAATTCGGTGAACTTTTTTTGAAGTCGACGAACTTTTTTTTCCAAGTTTGTGAACCTGTTTCAAAACCGATGAACTTTTTTGAATGTCGGTGAACTTTTTTTCCAAATTTTATTATTTTTTCAAAATCAATAAAAATTTTAAGAATTCATGAAGTATTTTTGAGGTTTGTGATCTTTATTTTAAAATTCGTGAACAGTTTTTAATACATGATTTTTTTTAATTTTTTCCTTACTTTTCCGAAAGTCAAATGTCAACCAGTCAACCGCGATCGAATGAGGTGATGTGCGGGACGAGCGACCGAGGCGACGTGCCAGACAAGCGAACGAGGCGACCCTGGGGCCAGCCCCGTTCGCGCACGCGTAGGCGCCGGCCTCAAGCCGGCGCTGAAGGCGCCCTATAGGGGCTCCCTCCCAAGTCCCCATTATGGGCCAAGCCTTTGTACTCAACGTGATTGCCAGAGGAAAGAAAAAAATCTGACCGACGCAAAGTTTATTTTCAGGTATCTGAAGAATAGCGAATGCGAAAAACTATAGAGATCTGGCTGGTAGGGTACATTTTACCCGGCAAGTTCATTTCCAAGAGTCTAACACCAACAAACAACAAGAGCATAAATCCAACTGTACGGCCTGCAGTAAAACAACAAGTGTAGTTTATAGTTCTTGTTGGCGGCCTGCTCTAAGACAACAACCAGTGGAGTATATGTTTCTTGGCTTAGCACGGCAGGAGCTAGTCTTGCACAGCGGCAGTTATTGGCTCATTACCTCTTATTTTGTTCTTAAAGGTCGTGTAGATGCGAGGATTTGTACGCTACACACAAGTACAGCGGCATCGATCACACATCCAATTCGTCACCGGCGGAGGAGAAGGGAGATATGACGACGGGCAGGGAGAAGAGGTGGAGCCTGGCCGGCGCGACGGCGCTCGTCACCGGCGGCAGCAAAGGAATAGGGTACCTACTAATACACGTTTCTCTTGAGTTTTCGAGCGTGTTACTTACTCGCTGGCCATCGTGCTCGACTCATGTGTAGGCGCGCCATCGTGGAGGAGCTTGCCGGCTTCGGGGCGCGGGTGCACACGTGCTCCCGCAACGCGGCGGAGCTGGAAGAGTGCCGCCGGCAGTGGGAGGAGGAGAAGCTGGCGGTCACCGTCTCCGTCTGCGATGTCTCCGTACGCGCTGCGAGGGAGAAGCTCATGGAGACGGCCAGGGAATCTTTCGACGGCAAGCTTGACATATTGGTAAGCTCTAGCTGTATTTTGTTCGATGGCTCAAAGGTAGTCGCCACTAGAAAAGTTATTTGGTCCGATTAATGAGTAAGTGCCCCAGGACCACGTCAAATCACACCCACGCATCCAAATTATCAACATAAAACATTTTGGAACACCATTTTTTTTTGCGGGTGATTTTGGAACACCATTGTTTGATTCGTTACCACCTCTCCAAATGCTCTACCACATTGTGCCGTTTCTTAAACTTATCTTGTCAGATGTTAGCTAAGGTGGCACCGAATTAGTGGAGAAAGACAAATTATTCATCTTATGCTAAATACGGTCTTCACATGAATTAGTGGGTGCCTATTTTTGCGATAGAATAATAGGATTTTTCAAATTATTGGTCCATAAATAAAGTCTCAAAAGATTAATATAATTTTTTATTAAAATTTAGATGGCGCAAATAGTTGAAAAGTATATCTGACATATTGTAGGCTTGTATAGCAGCCCAATAAAGCCCAATCACCCACATGTCTTGAAATAGCTGTCCATTAGGACAGGCGGGCCAGGTTGCGAAAAACTGGACCTGAAACACGATCTGACGGCCAGAAAAGGCGGAAGACATGAGAGAGCTCCGTTTAGCTGTAAATGTAATATGTAGTAAACAACATTAATTTTGTACCAAATGAATAAAATATTAATAAATTTACTTCTTGTTGTTTAAAGTTTTCTCTTAACAAATGAAAATACGTCAACCAAGGGGCTAAAACATGATCTCAAAAAATATTCATGAAAAGTATCAAAAATTCTTACAATGAACATTTATAATCCAGGTGAACAATGCAGGGCAATTGTTTTTCAAAGTGGCTACGGAGTTGACGGAAAACAACTACTCGCATCTGATGGAGACTAATTTAGCATCGAGCTTCCACCTCAGTCAGCTAGCACACCCTCTCCTCCTCAACGCCTCCATATGCGGAGGAGGAAGTATTGTCAACATCTCCTCCATTGCAGGCTCAGTTGGCTTTCCATGCTTCACACTTTATAGCATTACAAAAGGTAGATATACAGCTGTATATGCTTATGAAAAAGTATTTCAATCATCCTATGAGTGGCTAATAGTTTGTTTCTTTTTTTTCTATTTCCCCCTCTATATATATTGGCTCACATGCAGGAGGAATGAACCAACTTACAAGGAGCCTCGCCACTGAGTGGGCTAGAGACAATATTCGTGTGAACGGTGTTGCTCCATCCATGATCATGACTGACATGATCAAAGATGTACGTGTCGAGATCGTATTGTGACTATATTTTTTCATTTTGCCAACTTTGTTCCAACGTAGAAACTATTTAAAAATACACAACAATTACTAATATTACTGAGATAATATAACATAATTTATTGTTAAAATATTTTACACTTACAATTTTTTTATTAGGGTACTACTTATACAAAAATAGCAGGGAAATATCAATGGCTTTTGTTGTTCTCGATCCAACAGATAGAGTCGGAGGCCATGGAGAAAGAGTACTCGCGGATCCCGATGGGCCGTAGTGGCAAGCCAGCAGAGGTCGCGTCGGTGGTATCCTTCCTTTGTATGCCCACGGCATCCTATATCACCGGCCAAGTTATTTGTATTGACGGTGGTCGATCTATTTGTTAGAGGATGGCGAGCATGATTCTAATCTTGGAGGTGTTGGAGCTCCGTATGCAAGAGACGGTGGTACTTAAGTGGAGGCCTGCTAGTTGGGATAATCTATGTTGTATAGAACATGTTTTATCACTTATCATGTTGAACTGTTTGGACTTTGTTTTATCTGTGGTATGTATCACTGTTGTGTCAAACAATTATGTTGTTTGTTTGTTATATGAATTTTAGTGTTTGATTTGAATTTCAGTTGTATTCAGTTGCAGGGCTACCTAGCAAATAGTAGGGGCGGGTATGTATTAGAAAAATAACTAAAGGAGGTGATTGGTACGAAACCATCTGCGGTAAAGAAAAACCATTGGAAGAGGTCATTCCTGCAAAGCCGCATGTGTTGTCCACGACATTGAAGGGGATTTCCCTAGGCGTCAGCATTGTTCCAAGTATTATCGACCTTGGCTTTGAGGTTGAACGTGGAACCGCCGCCGGGCCATGAATGAAAATCGCCTACAATGCTCGATTGTGTACGACTGGAAGAGAGTACTCACTGGAAGACACCACCAGTTTATGAATAACTTTACTATAAAAATAGAATTTGTGTAAATCACTAGTTTATGAATAACTTAACTATAAAAATAGATTTTTTTTCTTTTTTGCTATTTATTTTTTATTTATACTTACAATTAAATACTTATAGTTTGATTTTAGGTCACAAAAATTATATTCTTTTTGCTATTGAAGAATATTATACTTTTATTTTAGTTGATCATAACATAATATTTTAATTGATTGTTTTTATTTTCATAAAAGTTTTTGTAGTTCATTCTGTTTGCTATTAATTCATTCTTTGAGCTAAATGACCCTGAAATTGGAAAGCATTTAAAATGAACTCTAAAAAGGTTGAAAGTTGGCATGGTATCATCATTTCACCCACATAGCATGTTCCAAAAAGTAGAGAGGGTTACGACAAAAACTTGATGCACTTCGTGTACAAAATGGACAATCACTTTCGAAGTATCAAAGTTTCGGACAATAACTGCGCCACATCATTGGCTAGGACGAATGGTTCGTCTGTGTACCCAAGATTGTTTAGATCCACTGTTGTCATACCGTACTGTGGGTCTACCTGTACCCCGCCTCCTGACATATTGATCCATTTGCCTCAACACATAAAACCTTAAACCATAAGACATGAAAGCATTTCAAATGAACTCTGAAAAAGTTGAAAGTTGGGATGGTATCATAATTTCACCCACATAGCATGTGCATGTACAAAACGGACAATGATAGCATGTTCATGTGTTACAAAGTTGGCATGGTATCATCATAATAGTTGCAGGAGAAAGTCTTCATTTTTTCTTCGCTTGTGTCATTTACTTATTGCGCCGTAACCATGGATAATCTTCATTGTTTATCAGGATGCTTGGGTCAGCCTTGACATTGAAGGGAGGAATTTCATGAAACTTTTCATAATCTTCAGACATGTCTGTCTTGCCGTCCACTCCCAGGATCTCCCTTTTTCCTGAAAGAACTATGTGGCGCTTTGGCTCATCGTATGATGTATTCGCTTCCTTATCTTTTCTTTTTCTCGGTTTGGTAGACATGTCCTTCACATAGATAACATGTGCCACATCATTGGCTAGGACGAACGGTTCGTCAGTGTACCTAAGATTTTTCAGATCCACTGTTGTCATTCCGTACTGTGGTTCTACATGTACCCCGCCGCCTAACAGATTGACCCATTTGCACTTAAACAAAGGGACCTTAAAATCAGGTCCGTAGTCAAGTTCCCATATGTCCACTATGTAACCATAATATGTGTCCTTTTCGCTCTCGTTTGTTGCATCAAAGCGGACACTGCTGTTTTGGTTGGTGCTCTTTTGATCTTGGGCGGTCGTGTAAAATGTATTCCCATTTATCCCGTATCCTTTGTAAGTCAATACAGTCAAAGATGGTCCCCTAGACAACAAGTACAACTCATCACAAACAGTCTTGTCACCTCTGAGACGTGTTTCCAACCAACTGCTGAAAGTCCTGATGTGTTCACATGTAATCCAGTCGTCGCACTGCTCCGGGTGTTTGGAGCGCAGACTGTTCTTGTGTTCATCGACATACGGGGTCACCAAAGTAGAGTTCTGTAGAACTTTGTAGTGTGCTTGAGACCAAGAGTATCCGTCCCTACATATTATTGAGTCTCTTCCAAGAGTGCCTTTTCCAGTCAGTCTCCTCTCATACCGCGATTTAGGGAGACCTATCTTCTTAAGGCCAGGAATGAAGTCAACACAAAACTCGATAACATCCTCTGTTTGATGGCCCATGGAGATGCTTCCTTCTGGCCTAGCGCGGTTACGGACATATTTCTTTAGGACTCCCATGAACCTCTCAAAGAGGAACATATTGTGTAGAAATATGGGCCCCATAATGACAATCTCGTCGACTAGATGAACTAGGACGTGCGTCATGATATTGAAGAAGGATGGTGGGAACACCAGCTCGAAACTGACAAGACATTGCGCCACATCACTCCTTAGCCTTGGTACGATTTCTGGATCGATCACCTTCTGAGAGATTGCATTGAGGAATGCACATAGCTTCACAATGGCTAATCGGACGTTTTCCGGTAGAAGCCCCCTCAATGCAACCGGAAGCAGTTGCGTCATAATCACGTGGCAGTCATGAGACTTTAGGTTCTGAAACTTTTTCTCTGGCATATTTATTATTCCCTTTATATTCGACGAGAAGCCAGTCGTGACCTTCATACTGAGCAGGCATTCAAAGAAGATTTCTTTCTCTTCTTTCGTAAGAGCGTAGCTGGCAGGACCTTTATACTGCTTCGGAGGCATGCCGTCTTTTTCGTGCAAACGTTGCAGGTCCTCCCGTGCCTCAGGTGTATCTTTTGTCTTTCCATACATGCCCAAGAAGCCTAGCAGGTTCATGCAAAGGTTCTTCGTCACGTGCATCACGTCGATTGAGGAGCGGACCTCTAGGTCTTTCCAGTAGGGTAGGTCCCAAAATATAGATTTCTTCTTCCACATGGGTGCGTGTCCCTCAGTGTCATTCGGAACAGCTAGTCCACCGGAACCCTTTCCAAAGATTACGTAGTGTAAATCATTGACCATAGCAAGCACGTGATCACCGGTGCGCATGGCGGGCTTCTTCCGGTGATCTGCCTCGCCTTTGAAATGCTTGCCTTTCTTTCGACATTGATGGTTGGTCGGAAGAAATCGACGATGGCCCAGGTACACATTCTTCCTGTATTTGTCCAGGTATATACTTTCAGTGTCATCTAAGCAGTGCGTGCATGCGTGGTATCCTTTGTTTGTCTGTCCTGAAAGGTTACTGAGAGCGGGCCAATCGTTGATGGTCACGAACAGCAACGCCTTAAGGTTAAATTCCTCCTGTCTGTGCTCATCCCACGTACGTACACCGTTTCCATTCCACAGCTATAAAAGTTCTTCAACTAATGGCCTTAGGTACACATTAATTTCGTTGTCGGGTTGCTTAGGGCCTTGGATGAGAACTGGCATCATAATGAACTTCCGCTTCATGCACATCCAAGGAGGAAGGTTATACATACATAGAGTCACGGGTCAGGTGCTGTGATTGCTGCTTTGCTCCCCAAAAGGATTAATGACATCCGCGCTTAAAGCAAACCATACATTCCTTGGGTCCTTTGCAAACTCATCCCAGTACTTTCTCTCGATTTTTCTCCACTGCGACCCGTCATCGGGTGCTCTCAACTTCACATCTTTCTTTTGGTTCTCACTGTGCCATCGCATCAACTTGGCATGCTCTTCATTTCTGAACAGACGTTTCAACCGTGGTATTATAGGAGCATACCACATAACCTTCGCAGGAACCCTCTTCCTGGGGGGCTCGCCATCAACATCACCAGGGTCATCTCGTCTGATCTTATACCGCAATGCACCGCATACCGGGCATGCATTCAGATCCTTGTATGCACCACGGTAGAGGATGCAGTCATTAGGGCATGCATGTATCTTCTCCACCTCCAATCCTAGAGGGCATACGACCTTCTTTGTTGCGTATGTACTGTCGGGCAATTCGTTATCCTTTGGAAGCTTCTTCTTCAATATTTTCAGTAGCTTCTCAAATCCTTTGTCAGCCACAGCATTCTCTGCCTTCTACTGCAGCAATTCCAGTACGGTACCGAGCTTTGTGTTGCCATCTTCGCAATTGGGGTATAACCCTTTTTTGTGATCCTCTAACATGCGATCGAACTTCAGCTTCTCTTTTTGACTTTCGCATTGCATCCTTGCATCTGTTGGGGAACGTAGCAATAATTCAAAATTTTCCTACGTGTCACCAAGATCAATCTATGGAGTCATCTAGCAACGAGGGAGGAGTGGATCTACATACCCTTGTAGATCGCGCGCGGAAGCGTTCAAGAGAACGGGGTTGATGGAGTCGTACTCGTCGTGATCCAAATCACCGATGATCCTAGCGCCGAACGGACGGCACCTCCGCGTTCAACACACATACGGAGCAGCGACGTCTCCTCCTTCTTGATCCAGTAAGGGGAAAGGAGAGGTTGATGGAGATCCAGCAACACGACGGCGTGGTGGTGGAAGTAGCGGGATTCCAACAGGGCTTCGCCAAGCGCTGCGGGAGGAGGGAGATGTGTCATGGGAGGGAGAGGGAGGCGCCAGGGCTTAGGTATGGTTGCCCTCCCTTCCCCCCACTATATATAGGGCCAAGGGAGAGGGGGAGGGCGCAGCCTTGCCCCTTCCTCCAAGGAAGGGTGCGGCCAAGGGGGGGCGAGGAGTCCATCCTCCCCAAGGCACCTCGGAGGTGCCTTCCCCCTTTAGGACTCTTCCCTTTCCCTCTCTCTTGGTGCATGGGCCTCTTGGGGCTGGTTCCCTTGGCCCATATAGGCCAAGGCGCACCCCCTACAGCCCATGTGCCCCCCGGGGCAGATGGCCCCACCCGGTGGACCCCCGAGACCCTTCCGGTGGTCCCGGTACAATACCGTGACCCCTAAACTTGTCCCGATGGCC